GTGTGTGTGTGTGTGTGTGTGTGTGTGTGTGTGTGTGTGTGTGTGTGTGTCCTGGCCTGCCTGCATGCATGTTGGCAAGTGTGTGTGTGTACCTCAAGTCCATGTCTAAGGACCCTCAGAGTAGACCGGGGTCCTCGACCACAGGCAACGTACAACTGTGGTGTGTCTTCATTGGCCAAATCAGCAATCTGTTAAAAACAGGAAGAGAGTACACAATGAGCCAGTAAGGAAATGCACTGCAGTACTGCTCCCAGATATGTGGGAGGCCCAGTTGTATGGGTGTGCAAACAAACACACTGACCTGACAGGACATGATGGGTGACAAGTTCTCCTGTTCATCCACCAGCACAAGGTTCTTGAGGGGGCGGGGCTGGAAGAAGAACGTGTCTCCTTCTTCCAACGGCATTGCAGAGGAGAACTCGGGCTCCTCGTCATCGTCACCCAAGTGAGCGATCTGGTAAAGGTAGCTAAAGAAAAAACACAACATGAGGGGAAAAAGAGCAACAAAAAAGGAATTCTGAGGATAGTTTTACACCAATCTGAAGGTTTTCAATCCCAGTAAGAAAAGAAAAAAAATGGTTGAAAATTGTATTCTCTCAAATGTAATACTAACTAACAAGAGGGGAGAAGAAGAAGAATTAACGCTGACAAATGACTTACTGGTTTCCAAATTCTGAACACACGAACAAGAAGCCGGTCTTCAGGACACACATGGCTGTTGCTACGGGGATCGTGTCGAAGTATTTCAGCCTGATTTCTGTGACCTGAGAAATAACAGACCCTTTTTAAATATACATGTTTGTGCCAAAACATTTAGTAAATAAATCAATACTAGAAGGGAAAAAATAAATAAATAATTCAACACTACAGCAGCAGGTCCCTCCATCAATCCCTCATCTTCGCTCACCATTTCTTCATCTGTCTCCAGGGTAACCTTAAAGATGTCTCCCTGCTCAGTTTGGGCCAGGAAGAAGAACATGGATTTGGTCTTGTGGGTTGCTGAGCAGACAAATATCATGCCACGCTCCGGGTCATCCAGGTCATTCTGCAGGATGGAACGGACAAGGAAGAGAGGAATAAAAATACATGCGCATAGAGAAACAAAAAGTGGGATTGAGCTGTACCAATGTCTTACATCTCTACAGTCAAGAGAAGAGTCTCAGAAAGCAAGAGCAGGAAGTGTGTCTTAAAGTTGACCGAGTGTAACAAGTATGATGCGTTTCTGTATTTAGGACTCACCCTGCGTCGCGGGATGGGACAGCGAATGTCAGGCTGGTCTCCAAAGTTCTTGTAAGTGATGTAGTTTTCGGAGCAGATCAGAACTCCACTGGGCCCATCTGAACCACCAGGAACTAGACAGAGAGGAGCGTTTAGTGGGATGCGTTTCTTTGTAATCAAAATACAGGCAATCCAAAAGCAGTATGGGCTCTATTCTCCAATACACGGTTTCCACTTAATACTTGAACTTGCTCTTCAAAGTGAGTAACTGTGTTGGTAAAATTGTGCCGAGATCAGAGGTGTTAAATCTTTCTCCATCGTTTATCAGAGAAGAGACATGACAAACTCATCATATCAACAACACTTTGATATGGGTAACAACTATCTGTAATCTAAGAAGCCTGTGTGTGTGTGTGTGTGTGTGTGTGTGTGTGTGTGTGTGTGTGAGCGAGGGTTTTCACTCCTGACAACCACATGTGCCCAGGTGTTTACCAGTGATGAGGAAATTTCCATGCTCTTCCAGAGCCTCGCTGTACTTGCGGACCACGTGATTTAAGCCGAGGTCCAGCTCGTAAAAGGTGAGCGTCTGTTGCGTGTTGGCAGCCGCTTCTCCCGTCGGGTCATTGTCAGCTTCCTGGAAAGAGCAAATATCAACATACAGGATCTGAGGTTTTCAAGATGAGTCCAATATTATGCACAGCCAGGGTTCCCACTCTTTTCCAGAGATCTTTTTCCAGGACATTCTAAGTGACAACCAGCTGGTATGACCGAGACACTAATATACATGACTGTATTAATCATTGCTGCCACAAATATTAGCCTACAATTTTGCCTACCGACTCTAGACTGAATGTAATAACAAGTGGAGTCTTCAACGAGGCTAATCACACCCACTGTGAGCCAATGTTACCCCTATAAAAAGGTAACATTGGGCAGTATTTAGGGCTCTCATTCATTGCTTGGACCCCGGCTTCCCATTCATTATTATTCAACTCTCTCAACAATGCTCATTAGCTCCTAGCCAGAGTTGAAAAGCCAGCAAGCGATCCTGAACATAACTCAGACCTTTCAAGTGGCAATGTTATCTGTTCTGGTGGAGTTCTGGTTGATAGCATAGTAGTTCATTCACAGATAAACGCAAAAAGGAGAATGTTGAAATAATTCTCCAAAACATTTTACTTTAACTCCCGTTTTCCGTGTGTTTTCAATGACTTGAAAAAGCTGTTTTCCAAAACGTGCTTGAACCTCGCACACAGTATACCGTAGACAATATGGGAGTGGAGGCCCCTGTAAGCTCATTGAACCATAACCAAAGGGTTAAAAAAATGCTTATATCATCAGGATAGGCAACAATATTTGTTTCTAATGGTGTTTGAAAATGTGCTGTGCTGAGATCAGAGGTTGCATCTTTCTCCAGTAGAGTCAGAGAAGAGACATGACAAACTCATCACATCTACAACACAAGCCAGCGTGCGTCATCTCAGAGGCATCGTAACCGTGACTTCTTTCATGACCGTACCTCATAATCCATCTCGAGGCAGGCAAACATGGGATTCTCAAAGCCGACGTCGACTCCTACGACATGGTAGACCAGTGTGTTCGCTTTGTGTGCTTCCAGTGGAGAGGAGATGGTCAGCCTTGCAGCTGCATCTCTGTTCAGAATATAAACCAGCTTCTGCTTCTCTATCGCTCCTAGACAGGGGAGGGACAGAAGGAATATATAATGTATAATGGTAATACAACAGAATGTAGTGGATGGCAACATGGTGGTGAAACATGTAGTCACTGAACTCAGGAGAAGGAGAACTATTGATAAGAGCCAGTCCCTCCCGTGGCATTTGTTGGACTTTTGACCCAAGCACACAGCACATTTTCTTGTATCTGTCTTTGTGTTCTTATGTTTGTATACTCGTGAACCATGTATGTATTTGTGGAAACTGTAGATTTGATATAAATTAAATAAAGTTTTCTAAAAAAATAAAATAAAATAAAAAAAGACAGAAGGAACTAACTTTAAAATATGCATGATCGTTCTTTTAGAAGAAAACATTTTGATTTTAGAATACAAGATGTTAGAATTACACTATTGTGAAGATAGTAACATCATTCTCAGGACACTCAAACTCATTTTTTTAAATTAGTTTCTGTGGACCTGTAATTCATACCAATAAGTACTAAACGTCTCTGCACGATGTTTCTATATTGTGTTGAGATTGTTCCTTTACAGTGGTGTATTGAACTGCACTACATACAGTTGACTGTTTCTAACATGCGTGTGCAACAGATGTCGCAGTAAACATACTGACATTCTACTGTGTTCTGGAGGTGTACTAACCTCGTCTGTGCGACATGAATATAACATTTTCTTTTTTGGGGGTAAACTGTTGGATTGATGCAAACTTTGGGACTCTTTGATATTACTCCGTACCTATCATCACGGCTCTGCCTTTTGGGTCGACAGCCAGGAACTGTCCGGGCACGATGCGCCGGCAGCCGCTCTTCCCAAACGTTTCCTGGTGGATCTTCTCAAACATGTTTTTGGATGGATGATATTCCAGGATGACAATTCGACCACTGTCGCTTCCAACAACAATGTAGTCTACAAACATACAAGAACGTAGATAAAACAAAAGGTAGTATATGTAGTGACAGAACTATTTTCTCTTGCACTTTATCAAAATATGAATCATTTTTGTGAAGTTATTGAATTACAGTTGAACATTGGATCTCAGGGAAGAGGGAAATCTCTCCCATTCAGTAGTGGAATGTAAAACCAGTGGCCAAGACTGAACATACATCAACCTATTTCATAACAATACCTTTAGAACGGTGTTGTTAACTACATAATCCGAGTTTGTATTACATGCATCCTTGGCTACGTACCTTTGGTTCCTCCAGTGAGTCTGAAGGCCATCAGGGACCGAACGATGCCAAACACCTCCACTGTGAGCAGAGTGTGCACCTTTCCCGTGTTGGCATCTGGCCGCAATAATTCCAAGATCTTTCCCCTGGAAACAACGATCTCCTGCATTTTTGTTCCTAACAAGACACAAACATCTCTTTTCAGCATTCAGCACGGGTCAAGTGTCAGCCATCAACTGAAAAAAAAAACACTGCATAGCTTTTCTCTCACAAACCCAGGAGTTGAAATTTAACAGAATTTCTCAAGAAAATCTGATCACCTTTCACAGAAATAAAATTGCAGCCAGTATGTATGTCTAAGTTAAAAATTATACATTGATATACTTAATGATCACCATTTAACCTTGCAAATATTAAAAGGGTGACAACAAAAAGTAGACCATTTCCTATATGACTTTATGCAGTTCTGCTCTAATCAAATTCCAGAGGTGTTGCATTGTCTGGGGCTAACGTTGGGTGTTTTGCTCAGGGACACTTTGTCATGAGGAAAGGAGAAGCCAGGTAACGTGATTGTGGTCTAATCCCCTACTCTAACTCTTTAAAAAATGACAAAAGAGGTGGGAAAATAGCAAGATGATGACCCAACCAAGCAGGAACAAGAAGGCAGCGAGCTTACCTGAGAAGTTTCCATGGATGGCATGAGTGATGCCCGTGGCACGCTGAAGGGTGATGTTGTACAGAAACATGGCTCCTTTTCTGTGGCTTCCCCACAAGGTTCTTCAGGGGCTGCAAATAGAGCACTTTTAGCCCAGCTCAAACCTGTAGAGAAATAAGTAAATGGAAAAAAGAAAGACGTTTAAGTTTGAACAGTATCATCTCTTACATTGAACAGTTTATTTCCCATGACCAGTCAATGTGTCCGTACTTAGCGGTGTGTTGAACGTTTAAGAGGGATATTCAAACGGAACTACGCTGCACCGTTGAGGAAGTAACGTTAGCACTGTGGTACAATTAGTAAATGTTACTTTCCAACAACGAATTAACTCTCAGAAATATAGCCTTTATGAGTAAGAGGGTCAACAAGCTAACTTGTGGGGTTAGTTTACATGCCATTAACCAACGAGCACTGCTAATGTTAGCTTAGCAGACAAAAGACGAACTTAACGCGTAGCAAGTCTGAACAAGTTTTTGTAAACTTGGCTCCTTTGTTGCAACGCCAGGGTAGCAACGTTACCTATCGTTAGCCTTGAGAATTCAAGTTGGTCCAAACTGTGCACAGTTAGCCTTGACAGTTCACTTATTGTATTCAACGGACTGAGAGCCCATTCATAGAAAGCGCCACTTTTGCCTGACGCTATCCCCCATTTTCCTGCTATAATACTTAACACCGTGCACACGTTACATGCATATAACGTCCATCTGAATACTGACAAGCTGTAGATTTGCACAATGTAATATTTACCGGCGTGTTAGATAAGATGCTTCTGATTTCAGATGGATATGACTTAATTTACACAAACAATCTCCATGAAACTCTGGAAGCCAACGATGAGCCGCCGTTTTGGGGTCTTTCGTTGGCTAAAACGCCGTCATGTTAGGTGGCCCACACGGCGCCTGACAGAAATGTGAGATTTGCTGTAGTATCGACAAATGTCCAGCAGATGTCGACAAAGACCTCAATAACGGATCTAAAGTCAGAGAACCGGGTATGCGATGAGTTTGAAAGCGTTTTCTTTCTACATTATCCATCCATCCATCCATTTTCCACCGCTTATCCGGGGTCGGGTCGAGGTGGCAGCAGGCCAAGCAGGCCGACCCAGACTTCCCTCTCACCGGCAACATGTTCCAGCTCATTGTGGGGGATCCCGAGGCGTTCCCAGGCCAGCTGGGAGATGTAATCTCTCCAGCGTGTTCTGGGTCTTCCCCGGGGTCTCTTCCCAGTTGGACGTGCCTGGAAAACCTCCAGTGGGAGGCGTCCAGGAGGCATACTAATTAGATGCCTAACCACCTCAGCTGACTCCTTTCGACGCGAAGGAGTAGCGGCTCGACTCCAAGCTCCCTCCTGATGACCGAGCTCTTTACCCTATCTCTAAGGCTGAGCCCGGCCACCCTACGGAGGAAACTCATTTCGGCCGCTTGTAGCCGCGACCTTGTCCTTTCCGTCACGACCCAGAGTTTCTACATTAGTTTTTTTATATTGTTGCCCCCCCTTTTATACACGTTATCCACTGGCAATATAGTGTAACAAATGTGTGCAAAATTCTACCTCATTTGTAATTATGTCAACAAATGTGTCAAACGTGTCATGACATTGTGCACGATACTGAATGCTGATGTTGGCATTTCATGGAATGGTTCAGCACAAAAAAATCATAATACCAAATTTCAGTCAGTGTAAGAATCACCAGCTTCATGCAAATGCTAAGACAAGAAGATACATGACGTGACTGTGAGGGTCTCAGAGGACAAACAGACCCCCTCATCTCCGTCGAGGCAACAGACACAAATGGTGAACACAGTGACCTGCTAACACCTACAGGTATACAGCGAACTCCTATGAATTTACACCAGTATCAGCGACAACAACACTGGACTGGACTAAAACATCATAGAAAACGGACATATCTTCCGTATGCGGATCATTTCGACTCTCACTCATTCCCCAGGAACACTACGCTCAATAAGGGCATTCACAGTAAAGGTCAGACTTTTAATACTTCCCACCAGACTCAACCTTTGGGTTTTCTGCCACACAGGTACCTCATTGTTTGCATCGAACCATTTTCCACCTTCACTGAGAAAGTGCAAACACACCTGTCAAACCCTTCATGTTTTATCTCTACAATAGTAACCCAGGTACGTGTTTTCTTTTGCCAATACAACCAAACAAATGTGTAGCAACTGTTTTTTTTGGGAACTCATTTTAGTGCCAGTATATAAGAGATAATAGAATAAGACTCTCATTCTCTGGTTATTTGATTTCATCTCAGTTTGATATTTGGAGGAGACTTTTTGCACTTTATATTTATATAACAAAAAATTAAAAGCTTTTCAACCAGTCCCTGATAATGCAGTAACCCACAGCACGTGTAAAAACTACAAATTCCAAAATGCTTTGCATGCATGAGGAATGCAGGGGGAGGGGGGCATCATTACCACAGCATGACCCAGAGATGAATAAGCTCTGTCCTGAAACACAATGAGGATGAAGTGAGTTCAAGTGGGTTCATATCCTCATGACTGAAGTGGATAAGGGAGGCATATGGTTAGTATTTCTTGTGCATCTGTTAAGTGGATGGGAAAACAATAAATGTGAATGATCTATAATCAATATTTAAATGTTTTAAGGGATGTTTTCAGCCTGTTTGTGCAGCCTTGGAGTGAGAACTCTGTAACTGGAGTGGTTTTGTTCTTCTGAATTTCTTCTTGGAGGGATTCATTCAATTGTTACCATAAAGCTAATTCACTTGATTAAGAAGCTATCTTTTATTTTTCAAAGTAAAAGCGGAAAAGTCGTGACAAAAAGACAAATGGGTAACATAAATATATTTAGTAAATGTGAAGCAATGTTTTTAATGTCTCTCTACTGTGTTTTGGTTTGTGTGATTTTAGAATTGCACGTTTCCTCTTATTTTCCCTTAAACATGTATTCATATTATCCATGTGGTTTCAATAAAGGCAAACATATGTTAATAGATTGATTCTGTTTAAAATACCAAATCATTTGTATTGAACCCCATCCAAAAATAGACGTAGACATGCATTTAATGTGTGATTTCTGAAGTTATAATTTTGATTTCAATCCAAAACTGTATACAGTAGGTGATATACTTATTTTAGCAAACTCGACCTTCAGATAGGCTATGATCCAGTCTAGCATTCTGGTGGCAAAGCAGGTTTTATTAAGGTGCTGGAGGACACATTGAACCATATACTTGAAGGGTTTTATATAATTAGTCTATATGTTGTTTTTTTATGATTTGCATATGGTTTGATCAAATATAATCATAAAAAATAAAGATGTATATATATATATTTATGACATAAATGTATCAAAGACTGTACAGTCTATGGTGCGCACAGTATTTTAATTGTGAAAAGATATAACAGGAAGTTATAGATTTATGCTGGAGAGCGTGACAGCGGTGGCCACCGGGGTTTACGAGGACCGTCCCTCCAGGAAGACACCAACCGACGCCGCCTCCTGCTCCTCCCGCCTCGTCGCTGAGGGCCGTCCTGGAGAACAGTCCACGATCCACCGCTTTCATCGGACGCTGCCCGATCACGCGTTAGGCTACTATTCAGCGAGCGGGTTTAGCCTCTTCAGCACCCGGTAGCCTCACGCTACCCGCTGCCTTTGCATAGCTAGGTTGACTCCGCAAGTCTTTTTTGTTGTTGTTTTCGTTATCCCGGGTCCATTTACATTCCGCTGCTCGTCCTGCTCCGCATCCAGAGAGAGGACACACATCGAGATTCAGACAACGTGCCCGCACGCCGTAAACGACGAGAGCCTGAAATCAGCAGCGAGCAAGACTGAAAAGGACCGGAGGGGTTGAAACCAATTCTGATTTGGGATTTCAGAAATACAAGGTGAGCCTTTGACTACATTGTTTGCATGCAGCCAAATTGTCTGAACGCAGGATGTTTTGGGAGCAGCCGAACACAGCTCGGTCGGTCAAACAGTGCTTGGTGGTGTAGTGATGAAGGGAAGCGTCGCTCTCCTCCTCCAGTGTCTGCTCCTGCTGCTGCTGCTGGTGGTGTCGGAGGCCGTCGGCTCTTTCCATCTCCATCTGGAGGTGCATTGTGGTCGATGACCTGCCTGACGATGATAACGGTCTTTTGCTACTCATCAGTTGAGTAACCAAAGGGGGGGGGGTCTACTTTATCGTTTTTTGACATTTTGGTCCTAAATGACATTCAATGCATGTGACTTGGTAAGAGCTTGACATTTACACATCCCTCCCTAGTTTATTTCCTACTGTGCCTCCTCCTCTGTCTCCCTCCCCTCATCCCCATCATCCCTTTCTTCTTCCTCCTATCTTCCTTGCCTGTGCCTCCCCCCCTTACATCTCCACTTCACTCCTCCTCCCTCCTCTTTTTCTTTGTACACTTGACAACCGTTTGCCCTTCTCCCCACTTCTCTCTCCACTTCTTTTTTGCCTTTTTGTCCTCTCACCCCCCTCATTCATCTCTCTGTCGCTCCCTTTTTCCCCTCCATCGATTTGCCTGCCGTCGTTGCTGAGACAACAGCAGCCTGAGTGCCGTGAAGGATAGAGTAGATGGAGGGGCAGCCTCGCCTGCTCAGTAGGAGAGGTGAAGATCGCAAGGGGGAGATTCTCTCCGTTTCTCTCAAGTGGATGCAGTCAAAGGCCGTTAGGTCAGTGGTCCTACTTTGTGAACACAAATGAAGTAATGTGGATATCCACCGACAGTAGGCGAGCACAGTGATGTACACACACAGTCACAGAACCTATAGGGAAGTAAACCTGAATAGAATAGAGCTCTCTTAGAGTCCCTGAAAACTCAGCTTCACATCTTAAGCGTTTCTCTAAAGCGTATTAATGACTAAATAGCACAGAGGAATACAGAAACCTGTCCAGGTGCTGTTAAGAAAGAACATCTCTGTTGTATTCTCGATAAGCAGCGAACTCGCTGCATAACTGTGCTGATGATGACACAGCAGTCCCCAACATGTGTCCCTGCCTGTTTTTATTGACACCTCCATTGACATGTACATTAGGTAAGTCCCCGCTGATCTCTTCCCCCGTCTCATCCCATGTGGACATACTTTGAAAAGATCACACCAATTCATCCTCTGAGAAAACCAAGGAGCTTAAATGTAAGCTCTAGCTTTAGCTTAGCAATAAGTATCATCACCTCTAACCTGGCATCCTGCCTTCATCATCTAACTGTTAAAAATAAACCTCAGCAGACGTGGAAGTCAAACCACCAATCAATATCTCAACAGTGCGGCGTAGTTGTACCTCCTGTGGTGACGAATGCAGAAGTTGCCAACACACCATTGCGTATCCATTGCTTTGAGCACATTGCTTGAATTTCTGTCCTGGATTTTTCCTGGCTCTAAAAAGAAGTTTAGATGCTGCAGCAACAAAGCACGCCTGGTTTTGTAGTCATGGCCAAACCCCTTCTATTCTAATTTTATGCTTGTATAGACACTGCCTTTCTGGCGCAGGCGAACATAACACTGCAGACTCATCAATTTGTCTGAATTCTTTGCGTTAAATCTGCTCTCTGAATTAAAATTTTGGCATGAAACCTAAAATCTGCCCTTTAATCAGAGGGAACGTTGTCCTGTGGTGGCCTTGGAGTGTTTTATCAGCCTCCATACCTAATGTTCTCAACAGTAAAGCCATGCTGATATTGTTAAGTCACACTACTGACACAATTGCTGGTAGCTAAGTGGCCAGTAAAAAAAAAAGTTGTTCCCCTCTGTCTGCTCCTCCCAAGCTTACAGTAATTTATGATGCTGCCTTTTGTTCTGCAGTTACGATATACATCATCTTAGAGAATTGTATAAATCAGCGAAAAATATCTGCCCACCGGTTTAAGAAGATAGATGTAAGCAACTGATTTGCAGAGTACGCCCATTAATAATTCCTTATATTTAATATTTTACATTTTTAATATTTTTTCATACTCGCATTATAACACAGCAGGAGTTAGTGCCCGTACGTACTGTGGGAAGTTTGAGCATAACGATGCAGAAAAACACACTGCTGATGAAAGATATGAGAACATAAGTGATGACAGAATATACTTTTCTCTGAAGTTTAATACATGAAATACATACTTTGAAGTGACTGAGGAAATGATTTATCTTCAGACCAGAATTCTTTCCGTTATAACGATCTGAGGCAAGCTAACTTCCAGGCAACAATGCTTTTAATGTGCCAGTGGCAGTACAATTCAAAGGGGTCTGTATATAAACGTGTCGCACCATAAAACACTCAGAAGCGACAATGACCTTGGAGGCCATTTAATTGAAAACAGGTTGAGGCGAAACCCACTTCATGTGCTTCAGACAGGTTATCTGCTATGCATCCTCTCGCCACAATGGTGTCAGAATAACGCTGTTCAAAACCACCCGATGCAAATGAGTATTGTGATAACTGTTAATTGTCCCTAAACCCCCAGAAATAAGGATGATGTGACAAAATGACCTCAACTCCAGGTCCACCTACGAGCTTTCAGGTGCATGTCTTCATCAGTCGTCATCAGCACATGACAGTGAAACGAACTATTGGAGGACAAAAAAAACTTTGGCAATCACTTCATGTCTCATTGAGCACCATCATCAGGTCAAAATAGAAGCTTTCCCTTTATTTCGGTTCATGACAAAACGACCACTTTCTGTTTTGTGCTAATTAGCGAATGTTAGCGCGCCAACACGCTAAATTAACGAGCCGCTTCAAAGTTGCTCGGCACAGCATGTATTGACCGGTGCCTCTATGTAGACAATCTAATGACAAACAGATACTTTTTGACAGATTAAGTATGAAATAGAAGTTGCAGATCTGATACGTCAACACACAGATCAGGCCTAGCATCTAGCACAGAGTATCAGACGTCAGCTGACAGACTAAGCACTGAGCCAAGACTGCTCAGCTGCTAATAGGATTCTTACCTTTTAAACCCGGTGTAATGTACACACACACACACACACACACACACACATTATACTGCTGCTACATTCTGAGAATGCTGAGAACAGATTTGAAATATAAATCCCTTCTGTCGAATGCCACCAGTCTTCAGGGTCGGTGGCCGACCAACCACAGCAGTCGGTATACAGCGAACGTGCTGTTAATGTGTTGACTACGAGAATACAAGTGTTTGACATGTGAGCACCAATGCTGGTACGTTCGCACACGTGTAGTCTGTAGCAGCGTTAGCTTGGATTTGTCCAAGCGCAGAGTGATTCAAACTTAGGTGCTGCTCTTTAGTGCTGCATATGTTAAATATTTCTTTCTCGTGGGGACGTTTAAGTGATGGCCTGCTATGGCAAGAAACCAGCTGCTACTAAAAACGTACCACAGTTCAGCAGGTGGCTTCTGTTAATTTTTCTACCCTTACTCTGTGTGGGTGTGTGTGTGTGTGTGTGTGTGTGTGTCCAAAAACTTTGCCTGCAATGAAATGTAGTTCTGTGTGGAACAATTCTGTGGATGGATGTCCAAAGGAAAAGGATTGCATTTTTTAATTAAAAAAAAATGAGAAACAGATTTCAAACTTCTTCATGAAAGCTTTCTTGAGTGTGTATGTGTATGTGTATGTGTATGTGCGTGCGTGCCACAGCCAAAATTTGGCTGTGGCAGCAAATTGAGTGCTTAATGAGCTGAATAAATGGTGTGATGTGCACCCAGTTTAAACACTGCCTTAAGGTAAAAGCCAAAGCCTCCAGTGAAGTTACGTTTATGGGTTTTAATGAAAGACGCGTGATACGAAAAGGCACCAGACTGATTTCACATTATTGTGGGTATTATGCGGAAAAAGTGAGGACAAGATGCAGAGCACAGGGGGAAATTTAAAAAAAGTGTATATTTTTTCTGCACACGCGAACACCCACATGGATAAACGCACGTGTAATCCTATCATTTGAAACTGCTTACAGAGACTGTGTTTAATTCTCTGTCTCTCGCACACATACGTGCACACACTCTATCCTATCACTGTAAACTACTTAACTTTCTCACACACATTGAACTCCTTTATCCGCACGAGTATTTGAATCAACACTGAAAACCAATCAGTGTAAAACCAAAAAGAGAGCATGCAGTGTACTGTACTGCTATTTCTATGAATTACTGGAAATCAATTCTGTCTGACTTCAGTTCGTGTTAATCTTCATTTGTCTGCCACATCATTGACAGCTATATGGAGATTGTTGTTAATCTCTAATTGGTTCTCCAATGGAAATCACAAAGTTGGTCAAACTGTTAGACTAGATAACACGGGCAATGTCAGCCCATTTATTTCCACTCTGTTGGTCTGGTTACTAATCAATGGTTTCTGTTACGGCCGATAAAAGCACACACGATCGCCGACGGATGACGGGGGACATTTGTACCGCTTTGTTCTCATGAAGCGGAAAGAGGAAAACACCACTACAATCAAACCATGTCGAAATTAAACTTAAGAGGCAGGTCGACTGAATAGATAACGTTTTGTGTTATTTCACACAAACTCGTTGAGTCACACAAATACTGTTTTAGGTTTCCTCTTCCACACGGCTCTTGAGAGGTTTCTACATTTCTGGTATTGCCTTTATTAACTTTTGTTAGACATTTTGGGAAATAAATTCCCCGTCTAGGTGAGTTTGATCAGAAGATCGATACCACTCTCATACTTGTCCGTTCAATATGAAGCCGGAGCTGGTTAGCTTAGCTTAGCATAAAGACTAACTGGCTTTCTGGAGGCGAAAAAAGAACAATCAACACTTCTAAAGCTCCTTCATTTACATGCTATATGCCATTTTTTATTCTACAGATTTCGATATGAGAGTGGTATAGATCTTGTCGTCAAACTCTTGACAACATAGCGGAAGCCAAGACAAAAATGTCAAACTATTCCTT